AAAGCAAAAATTGGGAAACGTGAAGTCTGAAGTCTTTATATTAAGGCCATCAGTCAAACATACTGTTGCTCTGGGTCTAAACAGAGTGCGTGACGTCCTCTTTTGCGCACGTGGCCGCTTTGAGCGTTCACACTAGAGTGCGTTTGCTGTCGCATTTTATTTGTGGTGGCTGTGGAGAGGGAGGTCTGGGCTCGTTTATCTCTCAGTATCAAAAAATGTGAACCCGATTCATACAAGCTCTGACTCCTCAAGTTAAATATATAGGGCTGATAATATCTAAAAAACCCAAATAGCAGAAAAGACACTAACATTTCTAACTGTATCATGGAGATGAAGAAATCACTCGGCCACTGGTTAACCAGAGACTCGCTATTTTTGGCAGAAACATCCTGTCTAAAGCTGGAGGCATCTCCAAATTGACTTATCCTTGTCCCTCTCTATATCTCTCCTCTAAAAGCATTAACACAGAAAAATGTTGTTACTTTATTTATTTTTTTCTAGTCATGTGTGTTTGTCTTATTTTTGTGTTGTATTTGCAATGTTTTTTTGTATTTTTTATTTTTGTGTGTGTTTGTTTGTTGTTTGGGTTTTTTGTTTCTGTTGTTTGTTTTTTCTTTTGTTTTATTTGTTTTCCTACCTGGCCTGAGGGATAGGGGTTCTAAGTGGTATGGGTAGGGGGTAAACTGGTGTAAGCAATTACTAGACATGTGAGTGTGTCATTAATCTGTGTTCTAATATTTCAGTCCAAACAGTCACTGTGAAACTTGTCTGTTGTTGAACAATTCTGTGTGTATCTGTTTTTCTTTGTTGCTTTAAATCAATAAAAATATCTTTGAGAAAAAACATTAATACAGTTATTTTCCAATTTTTGTGGAGGAATAAAACCCATGACATAGAAAGATCCCTGAGCAGTTATAGACTCATGTTACTTATGTATTTTTGGTGTTGCTCCCCCTTTTTCTCTGTGCTTGTACATATGTGTGTGTGGGTGGCTGTGTGTCTGAGCACTCGTTTATAGGCGCCGTCAGGCCTGGTGGGTGTGGCCCTGCTAGGGGACTGGCCACACCCGAAGCCACGCACCTGCTGCTGATCAGGCCTCGTCAGGGGAGCTACTTAAGAGAGTCTTGGAGCTGACGTGGGATCATTTTGTGAGACTTCCTGGCAGTTCTCCAGCTGGTCTGTTTGTGTGAGCCTACCTGTGTAGCTGAGGGCACTAACGGCTGCCTCTGTTTTCCCAGGAGGATTGCTGGAACTAGAGGGCAGCAGACACACGAGCACAAACACTGGGAGGAGACACGGAGTGGGGAGCACACGGGGATGTATTACTGTACAGTTTTCACTGTAAATAAAGAGCACTGTTTGCATCACAGAGTACCGCAAACACTGCTCACATCCCCACGGTCTGCCAACACAGACCGTGACAATACAGGTGCTATCAAAGCTCCAGAATTAGAATTTATGGATGGCACCATTAGAATTAAATGGTTAAAACCTTGTCTGTCACAGCCAGACTCTACATAGATCCCATGATCCTTGTTTAATAAAATAGGAGGATCGGACTTTATTTTGAAATGTGATTTTGAGGCAAATAAAATCCTGATCAAGATATCAAACTTTCCAAAACAGACTTTTTTGGAAAATGAGATTTACCCACAACTTCTCCCCATAATTCAGCCTTATGGAATCATAGGGTAATAACACTTAATCAAAAATCTATTTTCAACAGTGACTGGTTAAACAAAAAGACTATATTCATGACAGATTTGTGGATGATAGCGGTGTCATTCTCAGTTACAGACCTTTCAGAAAAATATTGTCTAAACTCAAAGAGAATATAACACATTTAGTGCACTGGTCCCACTGCCTCGGCTTCATTTGATTAAAAGTTTATCATATACAATAATTTCTCATCAGTGCTCCCAAATTTATTGCCAGGGCACTGTCAGCTGTTTGAGAAAAATGCAATAAGAGTATAATTAGTAGATTCTTCAAAGACAAAATATGTTATAGTTACAGCAGGATGGTTACATGGTTCTAATGTAGTTGTTTCATATACACTGGATAAAGTGTACTGAAAATGATGAAATAGCCTCTTCTACCTAAAGTTACAGAAACACACTTTAATCCTGTGGCAGAATTTCTAATAAAGAGCTTTGGCTTTGAGGTGGATCAGTGTTGTTTTTGTACTGATGACAGTGAAACCCTAGAACATCTTTTTTTTTGCCCCATCACACAATGTGTTTGGTGCAACTTAAAAAATTTCCCTAAATATTAATGATGTGCCACTATTTGCATTACATCATAGATTTTTTTACATGGATCATCTGCATTGGGTGTCTCAGACATGATTACCATCATCATACTTGTGAGTAAACATCATTGTGCTACATGGAGGAGCGCTGAGCTTCTCTCCCTGGTTTTATTGATGATTTTAAGATTGTCTTTGCTAAAAAAGACAAAAAGCACACATGCCAAATAAATAACCAGGATAATGCCGTCTGCTGTTCTAAATGTGACTCGTGCTGGGGCTCATATACTGTTTAGTAATGCAGCTGCTTCACTTAGGCAGGTTGCTGAGGAGACATCTGTGCAGTGGTTTGTTTGAAATCTACCACTTTTTCCTTCAGTTTCCTTGTCAAGAAACAACTTCCTGTTCAACTGAAACAACTTCCTGTTCAACTGAAACAACTTCCTGTTCAACTGAAAGGTTTTTCAGTAGTGAGAGTGCTTCAGTAATAATGTCCCTCACGGCACCTCACACAGGAGAGACAGGTCCAGGGGGGCTCTGGGCCCAGCAGGTGTGGGAGTACCTTTGTCCAGCTTGCTATAGATGTGCTGGGGCAGCTGGGGACTGGACTCCACGTTGGGGGGGTAAACGTAGAGCGCCTGGCTGTGGGCCCCCCCTCCTTCCCGTTCCTCCATGGCCTCTCTGCACACGCTCAGTATGGAACGGCGGAAGTCCTGGACCTCCGGGTCCTTCATCATCTCAAACTCGCAGACCGGCATCCCGATGGCGAAACCTGTGGGGGGAGGAGTCTGACTATGAGGTCATAGTGTGATTACATGTGATGGGGCGTTCCCTTACCGATCTCACGGTTCAGGATTTTCTCCTCACGGTTGCCGAGGGGCTCGATGACCTTAAGGATGGGGTGGAACAGGCGCAGGTCGCACAGCCGCCTCGTCTCATCATAAAACTCCTCCCTCTCAGCCTCCTGGGTCACGCCCACAAAGATGTAGCACGACTCCTCCTGGCCAATCGGAGACCGGAATTTATAGTTGGACTGAGATAGAAGGAAGGGGCGGGGTCAAAGTTAAGAGCGTATACCTGCAGCAGGTGGTACAGGGGGTACTTCCTGGCCTCGGAGAAGAGCTGCTGCTTGATACTGATGAGAGGAGTTTCCCTCAGACACTCCAGGCTAACCATCATACCTGAGGAATGTCATGGAAACAGCATGAAAACGCCATGGAAACGCCACGGAAATACAATCCAACAGAAACACAAATATTACAGGTGAGCTGAAAGAGGACGAAGGTAAGCCTGTACGAGTGACGCTTGTGTTCAGCCTCAAAAACAAAGCTGTGACGTCATGATGTCATCTGTTGTCCGACATTATGACGTCACAGAGCTACACCCAAGCTTACATCCGCCCGTGGCTGTACCGTTAGGCAGGCAGCAGTCCACCAGGATCCGGGGGGGCATCAGGTGGAGCCCCCATAGTTCCCCTGACGATGGCCTGGGCACCATGGTAACCAACAGTCACACCTCACCTCAGTGCTGGGCTACCTGTGAAAAGAGACAGAGCTGCAGCTCAGCACAGGGCAAACAGCAGGGGTCAGAGGTCACTCTGGAACAATTCCACAGGTGCAGCTGTTGGGAGAGGCCCGTACCTGTGGGCGGAGTCCTGTAACCTGAAATTAGACTTGATAAAACAAGAAAGTGAGACTAATTTTGATCACGTCTTGGCCTCCTCTTTAGCCCCGCCCCCTCTTTGCATGGGTTTGTTTGTCCTCTCTGATAACAGGAGGTTTGTCAGAGAGTGAGCCGGTGTCCTCCTACGAGCTGTAACGATGTTCAGAGGACGGTGTGTCTATGAACAGCTGCAGTTAGCAGAAATAGCATCCTCCTAAAAATCTGTATGAGTTTCTATGGTAACATGTTACATGCATCATAATGAAAGTGTCACATCACAGGCCACGCCCATATGAGAACACCTGGAAAAAAACAGGTGCTACAGCTGCTGGGTCACATGATCCTCAGCTAAAGTGAACAGATGCTGAATGAACAGAGCAGCTTCACTGACGGAGCGTTTGTATTGGTCCACAGGTAAAGTGGGAGGGCTAATGTGTGTTAGCTGAGCACAGGTGATCTGATGTTCGCTGAAAACAGGGAGACGGTTTATCAGTGAAGACGACAACGACAGAGGAGGCTGGGTTTAACCAAAAGCAAGAGGTTTATTATGGCTAAAAGCAAAATAAACGAAGAACAACCATGACAACCTAGCCTGGGGAAACCAAAACAGAAATCATCACTGGAATTTATCGAGGAAACCTGGAAACAAAAGGAGGGACCGCTGGAGATTTGCAGACGCACTGACACAATGTATACACACAGGAGGAAGAAACACACGGAAAAACAGCTGGAACGAATTCGACTAAATGAGACGGGGAGGCAAAAACCACAGCGCTGAACGTGGGACGCAAGACTGTCAAAATAAAACAGGAAACCCTGAGAGGCAGACTTAAGACACACAGGCTTGACACATCACAAGATGGACAAACAGGGAGTCAAGGATGAGACACAAGGAGAGGAACAGAGGAAACACAGTGACACGACTAAGACACAAAGACACGATGGACTCTTACACACACTGAAGACACAGCTCAAGCACACTTGGTCCACGCTGAGAGTGGGGTCGTCCTGTAATCTCTTACGAACTACGCTTCCCTGACTGGGATGCAAGTGGAGACAGATGTAACGTGGTACGAGACCATCATGACACCTCTCACCTCAGGGTGTGGTGTTCAGAGCCCAGCAGCAGGTTGATCGAAGCCAGAAACCTGGAGATGCTGTAGGCGACTGAGCTGATCACACAGAAAGCTTGTCTTAGAGGTGCAGCCTGTTAAAATGTCTCGATCACGCTCAGTGTAAGTACATCCTGCAACGCTGTGAGGTCAGTGTGTGATCAACTCTCTGTGAGTGGTTCTCAGAGCTGTGGTCAGTTTGC